AGGGCGGGCGCCGCGGGGGACAGCGGGGCTCTTCCTCCCTGCTTTGTTTCTTCCTCCCCCGGCTGGTGAGGTGACTAGAAGCAGCCTGGGGGACGGAGGTGCCAGAGGATGTTTGTGATAGTTTTCTGGTGCGCTTTGCAGAGCTGTGCCAGGGGTGGCCTGAGACAGGGAAGAAAGTGCCCTACTTGTTAGGCTGCTCCGCATAACCACGAAATAATGGTGTGAACTGCAAGTGTTAGCCGTCTGTTTCTTCCTCCCCCGGCTGGTGAGGTGACTAGAAGCAGCCTGGGGGACGGAGGTGCCAGAGGATGTTTGTGATAGTTTTCTGGTGCGCTTTGCAGAGCTGTGCCAGGGGTGGCCTGAGACAGGGAAGAAAGTGCCCTACTTGTTAGGCTGCTCCGCATAACCACGAAATAATGGTGTGAACTGCAAGTGTTAGCCGTCCTGGGCACCTTGTTTCTCTGCCCTTCATTGTACTTTTATGAGGCAGACTCATCCCTGCAGCTTCACCTGTTTTAAGTCAAATACAAGGCAATTCTTAGAGAGGAGCTAAGAGTTGTAGAGAAAGAGGAGCTACCTATGACAATCCTTGGGACTCCTGTTTGGCTTGTGAATATTGAAAACGATATATATGCGTTCAGATATAGATGTGTAAAATCAGACGATCAAAAAATGTTTTTTAGTTCCCAGATAGATACTAGGCCTGCTTAATAAAGGGAACATTCACAAGAAGTCTAAATAGCAGCCAGACTTTTGCATTTCCAACTTCTGGCACTATAGCACAGGGCTCTTTTGTCCCAAAGTAGCAGTACGTTGAAATAATGCGTGAGACAAATATGATACCAGCTGGTCTTTGGAAATGACAGCTGCTAAATAAAAACAATATTGCACTGTTTGCAAGAACTGTGCTTGGCCAGCAGTAGAAGTTGTCAAATGACTTGTGACCAGTACTCCTCCTCCATTCCCTTTCTTGTGCAACGCTAGTGTATTTTGTTATTTATCAGGGGCTACCTCTGATGTAGTGCATAAGAGGCACTGGGATCCATGCTCAGTACAGGTATTTGAACTTATTGTACCTTTCTGGCAATGTTTTTAAATGAAGTAAGTGTAGTTTAGAAACAAGAAAATGCTACCAAAATGTCTAATTATTAAAGTGAAAACTGGGGGATTTTTAAGAAAAATGTTCCAAGAATACAATATGACCTTTAAAAATTCCTTCTTTGGATAAGGGAACATTAAGTCTGATTTAAAATTCCTTCCTAGGCAATTTTTTTTTTTGTTTGCATTAAAATAAAATGATAGAAAGCAGTGCTGTTGATCATGCTTGTTAATCGAAGTGTTAACTTTCTTATAATGTCACCTGTCTGTCTTTCTGGAGGTTTTGAGCTGTATAGACATTATTTGGTGTCTGTTTAAAGGATGTCAGGAGATGAAAAAAAGATTGAAAAACTTAATTCCTTTAAAACCATGATCAATCAACACTAAAGTTGTGCCTGAAACTTGAAGAAGTCTTCAGCATTTGGCTTGCCTTAGTAAAGAGGGGCAGTGAAGGTGTGTAAGAGAACGGTGCTATGGTCTCTTGTACAACCTGCTTAACCAAGGCATGGGGATATGAGCTGAGGTCAGTGAGCCAAAGGTTTTGGGACCGGAAATAAACTCACTTGGCTCTGCAGGGAAACCTGTTTCTGTCTATTAGTATTGTAGTAGCATCCAGAAATGGATTAGGTATTGCTTGGACACGCGGGAAGACTCAGATTCTGAGCTAAGCTGCACCCTCTTGCCTTTGAAATCTTCCAGTAGCTGGGACAGGGAGGAGGCAGCCAACCATTAGAAGCTCCTGCCAAGCAGATATGGAGGGTCTTCTGAGCCAGAGCCGCAAGCATGGCACCAGTTTCTTTCTCTCCTGTGTCTTACCCCATCACCTCCTTCTTGCTTTTCTTTATTCTTTTCTATTGTGCTGGAAACTTTCGACCTGAAAGAAGGAACTACATAACTCAGGGTGAGGAGTCAAATAATGTTTTTTCTTTGATTGCATTAGAATAATCTAGCACCTAAATATGGATTTGAGCATCAAATGTATTAAGGGGCTAAACCTAGAGTGTGCTCAGGAATTCCAGTTCTTCTTCCTGCCCTGACACAGTCATGCTGTGTTCTGTCAATAGGTGTTTAGAATTGAAGCAAGAGAAGACTTAGCAAATGGCAAGAGTGGCCAGTTTATAGAAATCCAGGCCAGCACCTCATCTGCAAGATGTATTATTCATGTGTCCCAATCTGATGAGATGGTTGGGAAATTGTGGGGATTGTGACAGAGGTAGCTCATCTTTGGGAGCTCAACATGGATGGTTTGGTTCTTTCTTACCAAAAGCAAGGGAGCGTTGAGGGTCTCATTCTCTGTTGTGGGTGGGTTGATGCCCTTGTATGGATCTTTGGCCCAGGTGCCAATCCCTCCGAAACAGGACTGAGTGGAAGCTCCTGTAGCACAGGCTTGGGGACTTGTCCCACTGCAGTGCTGCAAGTTTCTGCTTCAGGACTGGGTTGACGGCTGCACTCCAAGGCGAGGGCTCTGGTGCCCCTGGGTCATAGTTCTTGTTCTTCCAGTAGGCTGCGGGGAAACGTGCTTTCTGGCTCTGCTCCTGCTGGCAAAGCAGCGCCCCCATGTTGCTGTGGCTGGTGTGATCCCCTCACAGGCTCCAGTGTGAAGACAGCTACAGGTTCTGCCTAAGGAATGCTGGCCGAGGCGTGGGGCATCATTGCCCCACCGGCATAGACTGACTGTCAGTGGGAGACAAAAACCTCAGTGTTTGATCCCCTTACCCTGCACCCAGGCGCTGCACTGCCTGGCCTGGCTGCAGGGTCATCTGCCCTGTGTGCATCGTGCCATGGCCAACAGCTGTCTTTACAGCATGCAGGGGCCTGTGCCAATGTGTTCATGGATTTCTTTTAACAGCGAGCAGACCCTGAGGCAGCATTTGGGATGAGCAGGTCACTAGATGACTGAGGTTTGTAGGGCTCATGAAAGAAGCCTTTGTTATTTGAGGAGGGAATTTAGAAAATAAAGTATTCCCACCTTCCTCCCCCCACTGAAATGGACCCCACTGGTTTTGGGGGGAGAATGGAGAAGGAGAAAGGAGTGCTGCCACTTGAAACACTGATCAGCTGCTCGGGGTTGCAGCTAAGTGCTGATATGGGGAATATTAAAGGAATAGAACGAATGACACTGGCATTGGTTAGGATGCAGTTGTTACACCCCTTCTATGACCAAAAATGAAAGCTGCATTTTGCCCAAAAGGGAAGGCCTCAAATGATACAGTAGTGAGTAGCCCTAAGGCAGTGTTGGAGCCCTGGTTTCTCTGGCCCCCTCTATACACTACAGGTATATGCAATTAATTGGAGACCAGCTACTTGCGCAAAGTAACTATCATGCCATAAAAAGCTCCAACCAGCTATAAAGTTAGACCTGGAAAATGTACTAGCTTTATAGCTGGTGCTATCCAGCTTTAATTTGAATGTGTAGCAGGTTCTTCTCTGTGGCTGGGCGTCCTGTCAGCTGTGGGCTCCAAGCCACAGGGGTGCACCTTGCCCAGCCAAGCCTTCGAGTCCCTCAGCTGCTAAGACCTAGAGTCCAACAGCTGTGGACACTGGGTGTCTGCAGCATGCCTCCTGGTGCTGGGCCAAGCAGGACCCTGGCAGCCACAGGGCACAGCTGTGATCTGCCAGCCCCAGGGGTGCTGAAACCCCCAAGGCAGGGAGATCCCTGCTGCAGAGATCTCCCTGCCTTAGGGGGCTCCCAGCCACAAGAGCTTGCCTCTTGCCAGTGCGGGGGGAGCCTGCGCCAGCAGTAAAGCACTATGGGATCTAATGCACGATCCCACAGTTGCACCTCGTGCCATGCATGTGTGGCAGGCAGGAGGTGTGATTCTGTGGGTTAGATCCTATTCCACCTTTACCTGCATGTATAGAGAGAGCTTCTTTGACAGAAAGCAAATAGTTCCATATACTGACTTGCAGTTCCAAATGCTTGGGGCACTTAGGTTTTCCCAGGAGATTTTTCATACAAGTACTGATTCAGTTCATGAACTTATTAGTCATTCATACGGCCCTTTTTCCTTTACAGTCATTTAACAGCTTTACTCATTACACCATCTGGCTGATGAATAAAACTGAGCTGTTGTGACTTACCAAAGGGCATTCTATCAGTCTGTGGCAAAGCCAGGAATTCTAGTTCCTATTCACTTTTCCAACCCTAAACAGAGTTCTCTGAAGGAGAAAAATGCATCATGGATTTAGAAATATATATACTGTAATTTTGTAGATTTCACAAGTTTCTTATTGTCTTTTCAAGTAAATTGCTTCTGACTTTCTTCTTCTCCCTCTTTAGAGTTCTTGCGAATGGTCCCTCCACTAAGACCTTGGTGGAGAACCTGCTCTCCTTTAATGGCTGCTGCTGCCGCTGGTTGATCAGTGGGAGACTTTACAGTTCCTTACTCCTTGGGAGGATACGTCTACTTCCCTTATTTATTTTTCCGTGTGGTGGTATTTTTTCCACTGACCACACGGGTGGGAAAAGAAGATGCCACTGCCTTTTGGGCTGAAATTGAAACGAACTCGACGTTATACAGTATCCAGCAAGAGCTGCTTGGTGGCTCGCATCCAGTTGCTCAACAATGAATTTGTGGAGTTCACCCTCTCTGTGGAGAGCACGGGCCAAGAAAGCCTGGAGGCTGTAGCTCAGAGGCTTGAACTTCGGGAGGTAAGCAAACTAGCAACTGGACACCTTGACTTCTCTAGCCATCTATTGCAGTGGATTACCTAACCCAGTGATTCTCTACTATTTCACACAACAAAGTGTGCCCTTGAAAATTTTCAGGTTAAATTTTGTCCTGTAGCAGACATCTCAGCTTCCCTTTAATTACATATGTTCTGATCCAAAGTGGAACTTTGGCTTTTGGAGCAGTTCATCTTGCAATTTACATTAAAAAGAATGCACAAAAGAATGGGACATGGCAGCTGTGCATCAGGTTTAGCATAGAAGTTTCCTGTGCTGGACAAAAGATAGTGGTTATTATTTGTTTAACACTGACCATGTTCGTGGCACTCTGTGAGACAAGACAACTCAAAGGGACAGAGATAAGTTGAATGATTTCTAAACAAATATTCAGTTAACTGGATAAAGGAAAAGTTTTTATGAATGTCCTGACAGACTTATTTGCATGTGTGGGTTCCTGGTAAACTGGTGCTGGGAAAAGATTCAAAGTATCAGTACACCAGTACTGGTACACACTGGTGCTTGGGTATTTGCAGCTGTGTGTGCATATACCATGAGTATGCATGCATGCATGTGTGTGCCTACATTACGTGCTTGAGCTAGCCCATAGCAGTTAAATGCATAGCTCATCACAAAGAGATGCTTGATTTGCACTAGCATAGTATTTGGATACTCAAATTAATTTTGACAATTAAGTTAGTTTGGGATGAAGTATACTCCTAGTAACTCTCGTTTACTTTGGTCTAACTCACTGGGGACTGACTTCCTCCAAGAAAACTTTTATACCGCACCTAAAGAAGATAGATCTGGGAACAAAAGTTTGGAAAACATGGAGTTGATACAGACAATGGTTTTATGGCTCATTATAACTTTCTTGCTTTCCCTGATAACCTTCTCTTTGCTCCACAGGTGCTAACGGCCATGCTTCCTTTGGAATGGTCTTATTCTTTAACACTATTAGATTAAACTAATGTTCTTTATTGGATATGTAGCTACTTCTGATGCTTTTTCTTTCCTCTGCAGGTTTACTGCCCACGTCTGTTTTAAGTGATCACTTTTATTAATGAGGTTAAAACAAAACTAATTGTTTTAAATGGTATTTGGCTTAGACCTTATCTGCTCCTTTTCCAGACCTGAGGAAGGGCATTTTGTGCTAGAAATCTTATCTAACATTTCCCCCTAACATAAGTTGGTCTAATAAAACATAATTCTTCACCTTACAAATGTCGTGTCTTGCATATTTCCTCCTTCATCACAACTACGCTATGACCACATGACCGAGGCTGTTCATTCTTTACGTTACTCGCACCTAAAACATTGAATTATAAAACTGAGCTTTTAGATTTCCATTTATTTAAGGATGTGGGTACACACAGGCCTGCTTTGAAAGGGCTGTATTTGTTTTTGTTGTAATTCCATTAGCTTCAGTGGAAGCATGCCAGAAACAAATATGGCCCCTTTGGTTGTATGCTGTTGACACAATCTGAAAGTTATGCTGCATTCCAGAAAAGCAAATCAGTCTGACTTACTGCAAGAACCATGATATTGCGTTATCTTGTGGAGCATTACAAATGTATCGATTTCCCTTTTTGGCAGAAAATGAAGTAAAAACATACGAAGTAGAAGAGTTGCAAAACAGGAATGACCATATTCTGCATGCTATTACCAGCCAAAGAGAAACAATTATTATTATTATATTTTCGATTACTATCTGTTGGCATACACTGAATGCCTGTCTATATACGGGACTTAAACATAGGATAAAATCTCAGACTGAGATACACAACATAAATAGAAAAGGAATCTGGAGAAGAAATGTCTTTTTCAGTTATGGGTAATTAATAACTTGTCAATTTATCAAAATATATTTCTAGCTTAAGGAACTGCAGTAACTTTTGGGGCAAACCAATATAGGGGCATGTCTTGCAAATCCTCTTATGTACAGCATGGGGCTGAAGGATTATAGCAGAATTCTATAAAATGGCCTTTTATTCTGTATTCTGAATAGTTCAATAACAGATGCATAGAAAATACCCCACATAAATCCATTGATTTTTTTCAGCACTTGCTTACTGTGAGTTGTTAGTTGTAGTCTCCCTTGTAGATAATTATCCGCTGTCTTTTTAAACCTGTTATTTCAAAATATTGTGTTTTTTCCTATACAAGGCAGTTGCTTTTTCACTGCCTTGTATTCTTGTCATGCTGTGCTGTAGCCAAAGAAAAAATATATAAAGGCCTCCTAATTATCTCAGTATTGTACCAACATGTATTGTAGCAGCTCTGGACGGTGTATTTTTTACAAAACTAGCATGTGTGTTTTTAGTGGAGTTTGGTGGCATCTGAAAGTGGTAAACCCAACTGATGCTGGGATAACTTACTGCAGTAAGAAGAGATCTTAATTCATTTGGTTTGCAAAAAGCATAGGTGCCATCTACTCTGGAGGAGCCTTCCCTGACGCATATTAAGCCATAGGTGTGGTTCAAGGGAATGCACTTTCTTCAGTTTGTTCTCCATTATCTCTCCCTTTTTGCTATTGGTCCTGACATCTTCACAAAATGATGGAAGTTCCCTCAATTATAATTGAGAATGCCAGAGATTTAGGGAGTAAAAGCCAGACTGCTGAACTTTGAACAAATTCTTCTGGTAACACATTCTTACAAGGATTATTTTGGCAGAGAAATGTGCTGAAGTGAAATAGAGCTGGAGATGAGGATATAAATCATCATTCTTAAACTCCCCCTCAGAAGAATGCTGTTTGCCTTTAAATGATTATTCCAGCCGGCACTGAATATGTCCTGACTGCTTGTTAAGTACAAGGCCTCCAGGAAGAAAACTTTGTCGCTCATGGCCTTGGGTAGTTTTGTAGCAGCAGATTTAGGGCTTGATTCTGTGAAACATTGAGTGCCTCTGTGAGATGCTGCTTATTAATGTATAAGAGTCCTAATGTCAGGTCGACATTAATGGGAGTTGAGGGTGCTCAGAGCCATGTCAGATAATGCCTGTTCATTGAGGTGATTGTGGCTTAGCTCAATTACTGTGAAAACTAGGAAGTGGTTTGGGTGTTATACGTGGGATATGCAAGTACGATATTGTAGTGAAGTAGGCAGTCTTTTAACACACAGCCTTTTGCAATGGGACTGTTTTAAATCTGTATGTTAAAGACAGTTTAAAGAAAACATCTAATAAAGTTATAGAAATTTTATTTCATTTCCTGTTTACTGCAGTTTGTTATAGTTACTGAATGTGGGATTCTGAGAAACAATTTATTAAGATTTTTATCTTAAAACTACTTCATTTTTTTTAATGCTGGTCAGTTCTAGAGGTAACTTTAAACAAAAAAAAGTATTAATGGTTTTAAATCTTGTTTCGCGTTATTAGACACTGGCTTTACCAGTTCCAGTGGCTGTGTTAGTAAGGTGGTGTGGTCTACTGGTAAGAGGAAGAGGGTTCAGGAAATCTGAGTCTGCTATCAACTTGGGCATGGCAGTGAGTATAAACTTCACAAAAACAGTAAGGAAGAATCTATTAGACAGTGAAAAATAAGCCACAGAATTCCCAGAATATGAATCTGAGGAAATGTAAATACAACCCACCTCCCTTAAATCACAAAGTCTGGGTGAGAAGCCTAGTCAAAAACACTCTCAGATTCACTCTCAGCAGTGCTTCAGTCCAACTGTTTTGTTGTTGCTGCAAGAGGGAATACAAGTTGGTTTGCAAACTTGTAACTTTTGGTGTTGTATAACAAGCTGTTCTTGTGCAAGTTTTATCATATGTAAAATTTGTCCTGTTAAGTTTGTTCTGGTTTTATGCTGTGCATCATGGTTGGCATGCATAACTCCTTACAAGATGCTCCCATTTCACGTATCTGAACAAATTCAGCTGTCTGCACAGCTTTCCAAAGGAATTCATAGAGACAAGGCTGTCCTATGTAACCTAAACTCGGAGGCTGTGTTTATCAGAAGAGAAAAATCTAATATTGCAGATTTGAAAAAGAATCAAGAACTCTAGTTGTGAACCTGGTTGTAAACGGGTTTAAAGGTGTTTGTTTCCAACATGCAATCTCATTTGTGTATACTCTAGGCATGAACAAGCATTAGCAAACATAAGAGAGACTTGACTTGGCTACAGTCAGATTTTGTTGCCCACTGTCTTTTGAGTATCCTTAGAAAAAGCACATCCATAAGTACTTTGCATTCAGTTTTTTTTAATGTGAATTTATGAGATAAATACACAGGTTGGTTTGGTTTGATTGCTAAGCCAAATGCTGTCATATTATTGCTACTGATGTACAACCAAACATGCTTTTAAAAATGGTATCAGAAGAATAACTGGTAGATTAAACTTTGTTGCGAGACCAGGAATGACAGATTGGTGCACATACTCGTGCTCATGCCCAGCTTAATAGGCTAAGTATGACAAAGTATTAGCCAAAACTTTGACAGGTATCTGTAAGAGCACAACTGAGTAGTGGGCTGGAATGGATAAGTTTTGGTGTCCAGTCTAGCTCTGAGATCTGCTTTGGTGGAAGTTTGTATAATACAGAAATCCTTAGGAGCTTTTCTCATGTGATTCTTTAAGTTCTTGTTAGTTTAAGAAGTATTTGTTTATTAAAACCTATAGTGAGCACTACAAATATTATTCCATCTAAAAGCACATTAATTTCACAAACCACAAAGCATCCTATATGCCACCATCCTGGATGAAATTGCAGATGGACCAAGCAAGGGTAGGGCCAATGGAATGGAAGTTCCTATACATTCAAAAGCGGTAGGGGAAAGGTTGAAGGATCTTTCCTTTGCCTGATAAAAGAGTTGTGTATATAGTACAAGTTTTCTCATTCTATGCTCATAAAGCTGAACAGGACAAAAATGGATGATAGTTTTTATTGAAAAATTGAGATGCAATCGGGTATCATTAACTCTGAATTCTTTCACTGTTATCAAGTTAAGTCAGAAACTGAAATTACATATATGCTTTATTTTAGT